TAATTAAATATTCATGGTAAATAGGCCCAATGGCCTGTGATGGGATATTAGATGGGGTGGGATCTGAGTTACCCAGGAAAGAATTTTCTGTAGTATCTGGCTGGTAAATCTTGCCCATATGCTCAGGGTTTAGCTGATCGCCATATTTGGGGTCGGGAAGGAATTTTCCTCCAGGGCAGATTGGAAGAGGCCCTGGAGGTTTTTCACCTTCCTCTGTAGCATGGGGCACGGGTCACTTGCTGGAGGATTCTCTGCTCCTTGAAGTCTTTAAACCACAATTTGAGGACTTCAATAGCTCAGACATAGGTGAGAGGTTTTTCACAGGAGTGGTGGGTGAAATTCTGTGGCCTGCGTTGTGCAGGAGGTCAGACTAGATGATCATAATGGTCCCTTCTGACCTAAATATCTATGAATCTATGATGGTTTTGTATGAAGGGCCTGACCGAGAGTTGGGTGTGGGACAAGCCAGTATCCTTTAAGGGTGTGTATTATAAACAATTTAGGAACTGCACATTGGATCAGACTTCCGGTCCGTTTAGTCCAGTATCCTGAGCCAAACAGTGGCTGCTATCATCTGCTTCAGAGGAAGGTGCATGAAATGTCATAATGGGCAGTTTCTTCTTCTCCCTTGTCAGTTAATGATTGACCTGACTCACAAAAGTTTATTTAAAAATTCTATCTAATGTAACTGGATATATAAATGTAACATTTTGAATGTTCTTATGCTCTTGACCTCAATGATATCCTACTTCAATGAGTTCCACAGGTTAATTGTTTGTTGTGCAGAATAGTATTTCCTTGTGTGGGTTTGAAATGTGTTCTTTCAGTTTAATTGAACATTCTCTGGTGCTGCTATTAGGAGGAGGGTGTGTGTGTCTGATTTACTTTCTCTAGACCCTCAGTTAGTTCTTACACGCTTATCCTGGCCACTTGATTTGCTTCCTCTCTAAAATAAACAATCCCAGGCACTTCAACCTCTCTTCATGTGGAACTCTTTCTATGTCCCACTAAGTATTTTCATTGCCCTTTTCCAGTCCCCTTCAGTTTTCATGGTATCCTTTTTGAGAGAGAGAGAGTGGCCAGATGGGAACACTGTGTCCCAGCTCAGAGCGTGCTATTGACTTGTATAATGGCACTGTAATATTTTCAGGATTAGTCTCCATCCCATTCCTGAGGTACCCTGACATTTTGCTTATGTTTTTGCCCATTTGTGCACAATAAGCAGAGCTCTTCACTGAGCTGTGTGCAGTCATTCCCAGACCTTTTTGCTAAGTGGTTATAATTAATTTAGACCCCAGTGATATGTCAGAATAATATACTAACTGCTACATGATTGCGCTCAGTGCTGAGAGTGAACTGATGAGACCTACTGGTCAGTGTGTCACAAGCCCCCCGCTCTGGGCCCAATTCAGTGAAGCTATGAGTCTCTTACAGCTCCAGGTAGAGATCCTTGTCTATAGCTCAAGCTGTAGCCGCTCATATGTCTGTCTCTGGAGCTCCCGAATTCAATTTCTAGCTTGGCAGTGAAGATAGAGGCCTGTACAAGACTTTTAGGCCTTTGTGTTTTGGACAGTTCATTTCCCACCCCAAGGCTAAAAGGTCACACAAAAGCCTCATTAGGGGACTCAAAAGAAGGAGATACCAGAGGTTTTTTTTTTGCAGGGGTGGTGGTGAGCAGTTTTATTTTATTTTTAGAATTGGAATGGTGATACATAAAGGGGATGAGGGCTTTGTGTACAGAGTGGATATTTGGGAAGAATTTGAATGAAGATAGCATGGGAGCCTGGTGCAGCATGGATGAAGGCACACAGAAAAAGTGGGATAAGAAAACTGCAAGACTGTCATCATTAGGGAAGAGATGGGACGGGATAAGACACCAGAATAGGGGTGTAAGCAGGAGCAGTATTCAGACACTTGAAGGCAACGATGAGACTCTCAGACTTGACTTGGCAGGCCAGAGGGGAGCCAGTGGAAGGATTTGAATGGGTGAGTAGAGTGACAAGATGTCCCGTTTTTAAAGGGACAGTCCCATTTTTTGGGACTTTCTTATATAGGCGCCTATTACCTCCCCCACCCCCTGTCCCATTTTTTCACAGTTGCTATCTGGTCACCCTGTGGGTGAGTGACACGGTTTGAGAGATGGGCGAGAGATGGTTTTAGTTGCTCCATTTTGGATGGGCTAGAGCAGTGGTTCTCAATCTTTCTTTCTTTCTTTTTTTTTTTTTAAACCCCGGGGCCCTTAAACTTAAATAGAGAAGTCTGTGGAACCCCAACCAAAGGTGACGCGTGGGGGAGGGGCATGTGCCTCCCCCAGATTTCTACTGTCCATTTGGCCCTGCTCCGTGAAGTGCTGATGTAGCAGGGCAGAGCAGTGGTGTGTTTCCTTGCCTAGCTGCTGCCTGCTCGTGGAGTTCAGTGGTTGTGAGACAACCCCTTCTGCTAGCAGCAGGAGGAGATCTCTCTTCTTTAGCAACGCTGCCATTTTTTGTTGCGCTCCACGCCCCCTCCCCCAACCCAGACAGGCTGCGGCGAGTCTGGGGATGGAAGTGGCACTCCCTCACTGAGCCCTGCCATCCAGGACTGACGCTGGAGCCCCGCAACCCATTTTATAGATAGAGAGACTGAGGCATAGAGAGGTTAAGTGAGTTGCTCCAGGTCACAGAGCAAGTTAGCAGGACTAGGGCTAAATCTCCTACCCCAGGGCTCAGTCTATTAAACCACAACTGCCTGGATAATACAAACCCACTTCGTACTGTCAGGAAAATCTGAAGTTTGTTACATAACCCCCACAGGGAAGGCACATCAGCCTATTAATTATGCTGTATACTTTAGGTAAACAAAATAGTAAGGGCTTCTCTTCCTCCACAGGAAACTTTCCAAGTATTTGCCATATATAACTGTGTTCCAGAGATTCTGTAAACTCATTTGCCTCTAAGACCAAGTTAGTTTCTGTTACTGGCATAAACTGAGGAAGCAAATATAAATCATCAGATGTTGGAATCTCTGCAGGAAACAAGAGCGTGTGATAGCAACCAGTTCAGGGAGGGAGGGAAATGGATTGGGACAGAAATGAGGAACTTTTATAAATGAGGGGTGTGTTGTGGGGGAAATAATTCATGTGCATGGTTGTTTTTCTGAGCTGTGCAGAAAAACTCTGCCTTTTTTAGCATTATCTTCACTGGACCAGATCCCACTACCACTGATGTCAGTGGAAAGTTTGCTGTTTAGCGTCAATGAGAATAGGATCACGACCATTGTCTGTGTCTCTCCACTGCCTTAAGCAGCACTGTTGTTTATGATATTTCAAGGGAGAACAATGAATGTGTTTTCCCAGAATCTTCTCTCTGGGCATATGACCTAATCCCTGCATACAGCACATCTCTGGTGAACGAAATTGCTTCAGTGCTCCCAGTTTCCAGCAGCTGTTTCTGAAACCAGCATGAAACGTCTGCAAAACATTGAGCTCCTCACTCTGTGGTTGCTTTTCTGAAGTCTGCATCATGCTTTGGGTTTTGTTAAATGACGCTCCAGTAGGCATGATGAATACCCAGCAAATTGCACTAGCGCAGTGCTTTGCAAATGGAGATAGTGTGCAGTCTCATTCTGTTCTTTTACAAATGCTTTCCTGAGGACAGCTTTGGGAGGGACAATTGCGAGCTGCATGGAGGAGAGTAAATTTTTAATATAACATCCATGAATTGGACATAAATGTAATTGAGTCCCTTGGTAGGGGAACATACCTGGCAAAATGAAAAGGATAATATCAGGTTAATATGTCTCTAAGTTTAGGTTTTGAAACAATGAACTTTGATTAAACTCTAAGAACAATGGAAATGATTACATGAAATTAAGAAAAAGTCCGTGGAAACATTTTTTTTTTTAAACCAGTAAACATTCCCCTGCTACAATTTTCAATCCAAACATTGCAGTATCCTGCAATTACAGGGGAAATTGACTAAAACCTGTCTAGAAGAAAGTGGAAATGATTAGCCTATGTTCAGGGTCTACACTTAAAGAAATGATCAAAGTGAAGAAGCAGCACAGATAGCGAAGAGGAAAGGAGATTTTTAAATATTCCCCCGCTTTTTAAACTCTTAAGGTGCTATACGTAGCTTAAGGATTTGTTTTTACAGCTCTGTGACTTTGAACCTGGTAGCGTCTCTTTCAGACACAGAAAACTTGAGGGGCTTTAGAGTTGGAGTCAACAGGGCCATGCAGGATTCCTCCTGCCCTGATCTGAGTACAGGATTGGGCCCTAATATTGTCAAACCACAACTAGATGTAATCTGAGTCCCATTTTTCTCCCTTTCCCCTCTAAAGTTTTTTGGGGGAGTAGGGGTAGGAGATGGGGATTTCTGATAAATGGTTCCCATTTTGTCCCCTCTCTAAAAATAACTAATAAACTTTCTTTGCTGTGTCATGGTAGATTATTTTAAAATTACATTTACCTTTTCCTTGAGGTTTGTTTTTCTGCCTTGTTTTCATGCTGATGTGTCACTCTTTTTGGTGCTTTTCATAGGGAGGTGCCTCTTAAATGTAGTGCAGCCTCAAAGGGACAATCACAAAAGAGGGGAAACAATTTTGGCCCTAATCCTGCTCCATGTAAATCAATGGCAAAATTGTCACTTAGGTCAATGAGGCAGGATCAGCCCTATACTGTAAACCACAGAGGAAGTCAGTGCATGGTGTATTGTAGCCCTAGATCAGAATCTACTAACACTTTCTTTTGGGGGGAGGGATAGCTCAGTGGTTTGAGCATTGGCCTGCTAAACCCAGGGTTGTGAGTTCAATCCTTGAGGGGGCCATTTAGGGATCTGGGGCAAAAATTGGGGATTGGCCCTGCTTTGAGCAGGGGGTTGGACTAGATGACCTCCTGAGGTCCCTTCCAACCTGGATATTCTATGATTCTACAGGTACAAGAAATGCAGTTAACAGAAGGAAAAAATATTTCCCTGTGACAGGAAATCAAGCTTCTCCATTTCTTTCTTTCTTTCTTTCAGGATTATATTTGGCACTCTTTACCCTGCGTATTATTCTTACAAAGCTGTAAAATCAAAGGATATTAAAGAATATGTAAGTAATTTTTTTTCCTCCTGTGCTATGTTTTATGGTCTCTGATCGTTACATTTTAAAATTGCTACCTGCATTCCAGGTGAGTCGTAAACCAGGGCTGGGGGAAGTCTGATGTGTAGGCCTGTGGATAGGGCCCTCGACTGAAAGTTAGGAGAGCTGGATACTGTTCCTAGCTCTGCTCGTGACCTTTGACAAATTGCTTATGCCTCCATGTGGTGGCATCATTGTGCTTGTATGGCTGATCTCAAAAGGTGCTTGATGCCCATACCTGAGATACAGTTTTGCTTTGCTTATTTGTTGTAGGAGAGCAGAACAAAATAAAGCCTCTTCAGAAGCCCGTTGGCCCTTTGGCTGCCCTCTCAAAACAGGGTTTGCAATGGAATTAGCAAACCAAAAGTACATATGATTGTGAATATCTTTCAGGAAGCAGAGACCCTTTCTCTCCAAAGCAGCAGCCAGCCTCCATAGTGAGACGGCCTCTTTATATACTTATGGGTGGAGCTGTCTTGCCTTTTTCCTAGGAGAACGCCTCTGGGTCCTAGTGTCCCATGGTTCAGGCAGACACTGCCAACTTTTGTTAGGGGAAGTGGGATGTGGGAGAAGCATGACCCACAAGGGCCCCTTCTGTGTCCCAAAGGGGCTGTACTGTCTGTCATAATCTTGTTTTCTATCTAAAGTGTACTGAACACTGCAGAGCCTTCAGGTATTTACTCTTCAAATATCTGAGCATCTCAATGATGATAAGGCCATTTCCATGTCTTGGTGACAGCTTTGACGATTATCTTAACGTGTCCTTAGCACAATGTCAAGCTGTGACTTGGAGAGGCTCTTGAGATTCTTCCAGTCGAGCGTTTCCCTTGGTGAGATTAGTTCTTTATATCCAAAAGCATTAACTTGTCGTGAGCATTGTAAGTAAACCAGATGAGGGCTGCCTGACGTGCCAGGTACTTGCAGAGCTGACTCTGCTGCACCACTTCAGCTATATAAATCCCCTTTGATGTGCTGGCAGTTCAAATCACATCACCTAGCAGTGGCTAGCAATGATAGTCTCCATTTTGAGAACACATTTCATCTAAAGGCCTGGTCTGCGCTTGGAAGTTGTTTTGTTATAACTATGTCAGTTAGGGGTGTGCTTTTTCTTTAATCAATATAGTTATACCAATACAAGCCCTTGGGTTAGGGTTGCCAGGTGTCCGGTTTTCAACCGGTTCACCTGCTCAAAAAGGGACCCTGGCACTAGCTTCAGTCAACACTAGCTCCGGTCAGCACCGTTGACCAGGCCATTAAAAGTCCGGTTGGCAATGCAGTGGGGCTAAGGTAGGCTCCCTGCCCAGCTCTGCATAGCTCCTGGGAAGTGGCCGGCATGTCCCTCTGGCTCCTAGGTGGAGGGGCGGCCACGGGGGCCACATGTGCTTCCCCCACCCCGAGCACCAGCTCTGCAGCTCCCATTGGCCGGGAATGGTGGCCAATGGGAGCTGCGGGAGCGGCGCTTGCAGGTGGCTGCTCCTCTGCCTAGGAGTCAGAGGGCCATGTTGCTGCTTCCTAGGAGCCATCCAAGGTCAGTGCCGCCCAGAGCCCGCACACCGAGCTTCCTCCCGTGCTCCAACCTCCTGCCCCAGCTTGGAACCTCCTCCGTCATGCAAACTCCCTCCCGGATCCCGCACCCCCTTCCACACCTCTGGCCCCGCCCAGAGCCCCCTCTCACACTCTGAACCGCTCGGCCCCAACCTGGAGCCCCCTCCTGCACCCCAAATCCCTCATCCCCGGCACCACCCCAGAACCTGCACCCACAGCCCCACCCCAGAACCTGCACCCCCAGCCAGAGCCCACACCCTCTCCCTCACCCCAGTCGCCTGCCCCAGCCCGGAGCCCCCTCCCACACACCAAACCCTTTGGCCTTCGCCATGAGCACCCCAAACCCATCATCCCCAGCCTCACCCCAGAGCCTGCACCCCCACCCCAGAGCCCATATCCCCTCCCACACCCCAACCTCCTGCCTCAGGCCGGAGCCTCCTCCCACACTCCGAACTCCTGCCCCAACCCAGACCTCCCTCCCACACTCTGCAAACCTTGGCCCCAACCTGGAGCCTCCTCCTGCACCCCAAACCCCTCATCCCCAGCCACACCCCAGATCCTGCACCCCCAGCTGGAGCCCTCACCCCCTCCCACATCCCAACCCCCTGCCTCAGCCTGGTGAAAATGAGCGAGGGTGGGGGACAGTGAGCGATGGAGGGAGAGGGGGTGGAGTGAGCGGGGCGGGGGCGGGCCTCAGAGAAGAGGCAGGGCAAGGGTGGGGCCTTGGGGTGGGGCGGGTAGGAGGTGGGGCAAGAATGTTCGGTTTTCTGCAATTAGAAAGTTGGCAACCCTACCTTGAATGGATGCAGTTATATCAGTAAAGGTACCTTATACCAGTATAGCTTATTCCCTTTCCCATGTGGGAATAGTTATACCAGTATAAAGCACCTTTACTCTGATATACTTTATCCACACTTGGGCTTGATCTATACTTAATAGTTTTGCCAGCATTGCTATGTTAGTTAGGAGTGTGAGGAAATCGCCACCCCGCTTCCCAAACTGATGTAGCTGTGCCAGCAAAAATCCTAGTGTAGATGCTGTTACATGGACAAAAAGGAACATTTGCCAGTATAGCTTATTCTGTTTGGGGAACTGGTGTAAACTATATTGGCAAAAAAATTATTGGTAGCATAATCTACATTTCCACTAGGGTATTGGGTGGGGTTAGCCAATGTAGCCCTCCTGACATACCTACACTAGCAAACCAAGTGTGGACAAGACCTGCCAGGAGTGGTACTGCTTAATTATTCTGGTTGAGTTACCATAGTACACCTTTTTAGTGTAGACAAGACCTCTGACTCTTAAAGTACTTCACTGATATTGTTTAATGAAGCTTAATAGCACCCCTGTGAGGTTGCTGAGACATACTCAGGGGAGTTGGTCAAAAAATTTTGTTCACAATATATTTTTCAACAAAAAATGGCTTTTTTAGCAAAATGGAAATATCCATGGGAAATGTCACGATTCAACGACGTGTTATTGGAAAAACATTTGATTTGTTTTTGTCAACTGAAAAATTTCAGCCAGTCAGGCAAAAATTTTCAGTGAAACAAAGAATGTTCGCCCAACTGGTCAAACATTTTGATTTTTGGTTGCCAAAAAAACAAAACAAACTAAACAAACAAATAACCAAGAAGTTTTCAGCCTGGCAGTTTTTCAGTGAAAACTTTTTTTAAAAATTCATCTTTATCAAATTCATCACCGGGGGTGGAGAATGCGTTTCCACCACTGAAATGCAGCTGCCTCTGGGATGTAAGGCAACAGCCCTACAGTATGCTTTAAGATGGGAAATTAAGAATATTGTGTCCATCTGTGCTGCTGGCGGTATGTTAGCTGGTAGGCTTGTCAGCCCAGGAAAAAATGGTTGTTACCCCTGAATCCATTTCAGGTCCCTGCTTCAAGATGCAATTTTCCATTCGAACACCCAAAATGCATGAATAACTCAAAGCAAAGCAATTCCCTGACCAGCACAGGCTGAGGCCCTTGCCTCTCTCAGCCAGCAGAAAGAAGTGCCCTTCCCTTAAATCCTTGCAGGGTCATGGAACAGACAGGTAACCTTTAACACTTTCCTGGCTTTTTTTAACCCTGTCACAGGCCATTTAGGTAAGGTAAGTATATTTTGTCTAACTGCAAAGACATCCCTACTCTTATGTCACGTACCATGGGATCTCTAATGACCACAGATGGTTAGGACCTCGGCTATGTACGTGTAACCCCCACCCAGTCAGTATGGCACTCTGTCCCCCTCTCGTCATGGCTGGGCCGTGTACAGAGGTTGATGAGCCTGTTACAGCCTTGACCTCTGGAGCTAAAAGCCTCTATTGCCTAAGCTAAAAGACCCACCTCTGTTAGCCTTGGCTGCAGCAGGCTCACCAACCTCTTTCTGTGGCCCCGACCACTAAAGGGGCACAAAGCACCACACTAAGTGGGTGTGGGTTACATAGGTCATCTGAGAGAAGACACCTCCAATAGCACAGCTCCTTCTGTCAGCAAATTTGGGTGTGCTGGAACTTACTCAGAGGGAATCATAAGCACCCTTTCCTTCCTGCAGTACTTAGAGGTCACTTGGCGATCTCCCATCCATGTATTGACCTAACCTAACCCTGATTATAGGCCATGACCAGATGGGATTACCGCACCAGGTAACGTGATAGCAGGGTTGCACTTGCATTTGCAGATGAAGAGGGAAGTTATATGGCATCATCTGTATGTTCTAATGTTATCAAACTGTCTAAATCACTATCTCAGTCGGACAGCAATTCTACAGCAGAAACTCCTCGTGGAATACGAGCAGCGTGTCTGACTACTTGGTCTTTTGGTCGGATTGATCATAAAGGACAAATTCCTTCTTCACGTGGGTTTGTGCATGACTCTGATTTGTGTTGTGGACTACACCTATGTGACAACTTGCTGCATGACACCTGGCAAAGCCCTTAAGTTCTCCATGCCTGCACAACAGGGTTCTGAGGCTTTCTTGTCAATAAGCGTATCACCAGGCAGCTGTGGATGGGCTGAGCTTTGGGATCCTCAGGTGAAAGGTGCTCTCCCCTAAAAGAGTAAAATACCATCACTGTACATTTGTGCCTTCCTAGAACAACATGGTTACAAAATATCTGATTTCTCTTCACAGGTCAAATGGATGATGTACTGGATCATATTTGCACTTTTCACGACAGCCGAGACTTTCACAGATCTCTTTCTTTGCTGGTGAGCGTCAGACCGAGGTGGGGCATTTGTAATGAGATAGGGAGGAAAACAGAAGGGTTTATAAGGGAACAGAGCTCCAGAGAGAGGATTGTAAGACTGTGTCATTTCCTGTGCAAGGGGTTGAATGTCAGGTGCATGGCGTGTTTTGCTTGGAGGACCAGCACTTCCTCTCTTAGCGCTGCCAGATTTAGGGGTTGGGAAATACTAACGTCAGGGGAACTGCTCGGGTGCCTGTGAGAAAGCAGTTGGAACTGGAGAGAGTTTGACGAAGGTCTGTCACTGTCAACAGGATGGCTGAGCCAGCAGCCCTCTTCTGCTGTGAGCACTGGTGCAGGTGTTGGAATGGAGACAGGCACATGGAAAGAGTGGAATGGGTATGTGAGAGAGGAGAGGTGAACATGAGTGAGGGGAAAAGGGAAAAAGGGGAGAGAAAGGGATAGGGGGAAGGAAGAGATGGAGGGAGGAAGAAGGAGGAGGAAGATACAAACAGGAATAAGACAAACCACTTTAACTTTTTCCCTTCTAAAACTTTCTAATCCCTAGGGTAAGCAAGTTTCAGAGTAACAGCCGTGTTAGTCTGTCTTTGCAAAAAGAAAAGGAGTACTTGTGGCACCTTAGAGACTAACCAATTTATTTGAGCATGAGCTTTCGTGAGCTACAGCTCACTTCATCGGATGCATACCGTGGAAACTGCAGTAGACATTATATACACACAGAGACCATGAAACAATACCCCCTCCCACCCCACTGTCCTGCTGGTAATAGCTTATCTAAAGTGATCATCAAGTTGGGCCATTTCCACCACAAATCCAGGTTTTCTCGCCCTCCGCCCCCCCGCCCACAAACTCACTCTCCTGCTGGTAATAGCCCATCCAAAGTGACCACTCTCTTCACAATGTGTATGATAATCAAAGTGGGTCATTTCCAGCACAAATCCAGGTTCTCTCACTCCCTCAACCCCCTCCAAAAACCACACACACAAACTCACTCTCCTGCTGGTAATAGCTTATCTAAAGTGACCACTCTCCCTACAATGTGCATGATAATCAAGGTGGGCCAATTCCAGCACAAATCCAGGTTTTCTCACCCCCCACCCCCACCCCCATACACACACAAACTCACTCTCCTACTGGTAATAGCTTATCTGAAGTGATCATTAAGTTGGCCATTTCCAGCACAAATCAAGGTTTTCTCACCCTCCGCCCCCCCCCCCACAAACTCACTCTCCTGCTGGTAATAGCCCATCCAAAGTGACCACTCTCTTCACAATGTGTATGATAATCAAGGTGGGCCATTTCCTGCACAAATCCAGGTTCTCTCACCCCCTCACCCCCCTCCAAAAACCACACACACAAACTCACTCTCCTGCTGGTAATAGCTTATCAAAAGTGACCACTTTCCCTACAATGTGCATGATAATCAAGGTGGGCCATTTCCAGCATAAATCCAGGTTTTCTCACCCCCCCACCCCCATACATACACAAACTCATTCTCCTGCTGGTAATAGCTCATCCAAAGTGACCACTCTCCCTACAATGACAGGTTTCAGAGGAACAGCCGTGTTAGTCTGTATTCGCAAAAGGAAAAGGAGTACTTGTGGCACCTTAGAGACTAATGATGAAGTGAGCTGTAGCTCACGAAAGCTCATGCTCAAATAAATTGGTTAGTCTCTAAGGTGCCACAAGTACTCCTTCTCCCTACAATGTGCATGGTAATCAAGGTGGGTCATTTCCAGCACAGATCCAGGCTTTCTCACCCCCGCCCCCCCGGGGAACACACACACACATAAACTCACTCTCCTGCTGGCAATAGCTCATCCAAACTGACCACTCTCCAAGTTTAAATCCAAGTTTAACCAGAACGTCTGGGGGGGGGGTAGGAAAAAGCAAGGGGAAATAGGCTACCTTGCATAATGACTTAGCCACTCCCAGTCTCTATTTAAGCCTAAATTAATAGTATCCAATTTGCAAATGAATTCCAATTCAGCAGTTTCTCGCTGGAGTCTGGATTTGAAGTTTTTTTGTTGTAAGATAGTGACCTTCATGTCGGTGATTGCGTGACCAGAGAGATTGAAGTGTTCTCCGACTGGTTTATGAATGTTATAATTCTTGACATCTGATTTGTGTCCACTTATTCTTTTACGTAGAGACTGTCCAGTTTGACCAATGTAAATGGCAGAGGGGCATTGCTGGCACATGTTGGCATATATCACATTGGTGGATGTGCAGGTGAACGAGCCTCTGATAGTGTGTCTGATGTTATTAGGCCCTGTGATGGTGTCCCCTGAATAGATATGTGGACACAGTTGGCAACGGGCTTTGTTGCAAGGATAGGTTCCTGGGCTAATGGTTCTGTTGTGTGGTATGTGGTTGTTGGTGAGTATTTGCTTCAGGTTGCGGGGCTGTCTGTAGGCAAGGACTGGCCTGTCTCCCAAGATTTGTGAGAGTGTTGGGTCATCCTTCAGGATAGGTTGTAGATCCTTAATAATGCATTGGAGGGGTTTTAGTTGGGGGCTGAAGGTGACGGCTAGTGGCGTTCTGTTATTTTCTTTATTAGGCCTGTCCTGTAGTAGGTGACTTCTGGGAACTCTTCTGGCTCTATCAATCTGTTTCTTCACTTCCGCAGGTGGGTATTGTAGTTGTAAGAAAGCTTGATAGAGATCTTGTAGGTGTTTGTCTCTGTCTGAGGGGTTGGAGCAAATGCGGTTGTATCGCAGAGCTTGGCTGTAGACGATGGATCGTGTGGTGTGGTCAGGGTGAAAGCTGGAGGCATGTAGGTAGGAATAGCGGTCAGTAGGTTTCCGGTATAGGGTGGTGTTTAGGTGACCATTGTTTATTAGCACTGTAGTGTCCAGGAAGTGGATCTCTTGTGTGGACTGGACCAGGCTGAGGTTAATGGTGGGATGGAAATTGTTGAAATCATGGTGGAATTCCTCAAGGGCTTCTTTTCCATGGGTCCAGATGATGAAGATGTCATCAATATAGCGCAAGTAGAGTAGGGGCTTTAAGGGACGAGAGCTGAGGAAGCGTTGTTCTAAATCAGCCATAAAAATGTTGGCATACTGTGGGGCCATGCGGGTACCCATAGCAGTCCCGCTGATCTGAAGGTATACATTGTCCCCAAATGTAAAATAGTTATGGGTAAGGACAAAGTCACAAAGTTCAGCCACCAGGTTAGCCGTGACATTATCGGGGGGGGGGTGAGAAAGCCTAGATCTGTGCTGGAAATGACCCACCTTGATTATCATGCACATTGTAGGGAGAGTGGTCACTTTTGATAAGCTATTACCAGCAGGAGAGTGAGTTTGTGTGTGTGGTTTTTGGAGGGGGGTGAGGGAGTGAGAGAACCTGGATTTGTGCTGGAAATGGCCCACCTTGATTATCATACACATTGTGAAGAGAGTGGTCACTTTGGATGGGCTATTACCAGCAGGAGAGTGAGTTTGTGTGGGGGGGGGGGGGGGCGGAGGCTGAGAAAACCTGGATTTGTGCTGGAAGTGGCCCAACTTGATGATCACTTTAGATAAGCTATTACCAGCAGGACAGTGGGGTGGGAGGGGGTATTGTTTCATGGTCTCTGTGTGTATATAATGTCTACTGCAGTTTCCACGGTATGCATCCGATGAAGTGAGCTGTAGCTCACGAAAGCTCATGCTCAAATAAATTGGTTAGTCTCTAAGGTGCCACAAGTACTCCTTTTCTTTTTAGGGTAAGCAAGTGTGTTACGTGTTCCTCTCTGTGCCTGCTCTACAGTGGTTAGGAGTCTATTAGCCTGTGATGGGATATTAGATGGGGTAGGATCTGAGTTACCCAGGAAAGAATTTTCTGTAGTATCTGGCTGGTGAATCTTGCCCATATGCTCAGGGTTTAGCTGATCGCCATATTTGGGGTCGGGAAGGAATTTTCCTCCAAGGCAGATTGGAAGAAGCCCTGGAGGTTTTTCGCCTTCCTCTGTAGCATGGGGCACAGGTCACTTGCTGGAGGATTCTCTGCTCCTTGAAGTCTTTAAACCACGATTTGAGGACTTCAATAGCTCAGACATAGGTGAGAGGTTTTTCGCAGGAGTGCGTGGGTGAAATTCTGTGGCCTGCGTTGTGCAGGAGGTCAGACTAGATGATCATAATGGTCCCTTCTGACCTTAGTATCTATGAATCTATTGCAGTCCCAGTTGAGAGAGCTGCCATCTTGGCCGATACACTGGGAATTGAACCGGGAACCTCCAGAGCTAAAAGCATGAGCTACTAAAGCTTGAGCTAGAGATCCAGGGCTTTCTGGCAAGGGCTGTAGCAGACTGATATTTAGGTTGGGCACAGAAGGGCCTGCAACACACACTCCGCAGTGGGTTTCAATAGCAGGAGGTATTACTTGTTCCTGCTCTGTCCTTTTCCTTTGGGATAGATACTTGGGTGTATAGGAGCACAAAGGAAAATGACATTCTTTGTTTGCAAAGGGGCCGAGCCTGTGCACCCTGCAGCTTCCTCCCAGTCTGTTCTCATGTGGGGGGTTCGGAGGGGAGGAACACAGGTCATTGTTAAAGTGGGGTGTTAAGGTCAATAGAGGCTTTGGGTGCTCAGCACTTCTGCAAATCAGGCCACTTGCACTGAAGTGAGGGGGAAAACTCCTGTGGGCTTTGGACTAGGCCACTTAGATAGGTACCTAACATCAGGCACATTTTGACCACTCTTATACGGCCTGATCCAATGCCCATTGAAGCCAATGGAAACCGGAGAAGTGAATGGGCTTTGCGTCAAGTTCTTAATCCTTACGCATGTACCTTACCAAGGGCCCAGACCTACAAGGTGCTGATCACCTGCAGGGAGCACTCTTTTCAATGGGAGTTTCAGGGAGCTCACCACCACACAGAATCCGGCCCAAAAGGAGGCATTATGTTGGTACTTCAGTGTGTCCTTAACTCATTGGGTCCTGATCCAGGGGGTGTGACTGCAGCTCATATATGGGCCTGAGTTAGCTGTCGTCGAGCTCGCTTGGGTTCCAGAGATGACGATGCAGCAGCGCACGCTACGGTGCAGGTTAGCCACACAAGTCACTGTGTGCGGTTCTGAGCGGGCTTGTACAGACTGTGCTGCTGTGACTTCACGCCGAGAAGATTAAAGCTAGCTTGGGTCTCCCATGACTGCAGTGTAGACATTCTCTTAACTGAGGGAAATGAGACACGTAAACCATCTGCAGAAAACGCAGAGGACAGGTTAGAGTTTTAAAATTCTCTGTGTTAAGTCACGGTGCTGCTAGCAAAACAAAATGGAAGGACATGTGGTTATAGCAGGAACGTCTCTGATTATTAGTAATTGTTATTCTGTGTATATTACAGTAGTGCCAGAAATCCCCAGGGTGGATTGGGCCCCATTATGCTGCACACTATACAAGCACAGATAATGGGACAGCGCCTGCATAATGTGAAAGGAATGGTGGTTCGAGTCCGTGATAAGTGCCATCTAACTGCAGAAAGGCAGAGAGACGAAAGGTGTATAAATAAATCCAGAGGCTGGTTTGCTGGCTGCTGGTGGGTGTGATAGGTAGTGTTCTCTCTGCACCCCAGGCCTGTAAGGGCTGGGAACAGTGCAAAGAAAGCCTCTATGGCCCCTTTGTGCATACCGCACCCCTTGTCACTTAATTGGCTCTCGGGGTCCCTATTAAATAAGGTTGCTGATACCTGGCTGCCAGAAAACTTTGCATAGCGCTCAGCCAGAGTTTGGGTGTGAGTGAATGTGGAAAGAGGGTGGTAGATCCTTAGGACACTCAGGTAGACAGAAACCAGCCTAGGCTCTGAATCTGCCAATTGCTAACTGCCTTGGGCTTCTATTATCATCAGAGAAGCAGTTACCATGAATTTATGTCATCTTTGTTTTCCCATAGGTTTCCATTCTATTATGAACTGAAAATAGCTTTTGTAGCTTGGTTGCTGTCTCCATACACAAAAGGCTCCAGCCTCCTGTATAGAAAATTTGTACACCCAACACTGTCTTCAAAAGAAAAGGTAATTACAGGTGTTCATGCCCTAACTGAGTGGATGGCTCACAGCGGTGGAATTAGTGTGTTTACCGTATGTCAGCTGTATCAACGGCTTTCATCTCAAGAAGATGAGTCACTGCTTTTTCTTTTATTTATTTTTGTTCTTTGATCTTCTCTTTGGTTTTTTTTTTGTATCAGCAGCTGCTGAGCTCATTCAGAATAACTTAACTACATCTGGGCATCAGAGAACCTAAGAGGGTGGGATACATGTATTTTGTTTTCCCTGAAAATACCACCCTGAAAATAGTCCTTCCTTGCATGACAAATTTCACAGTGTTGGAAATGCTGACTGAATGTAGCTGGGGTGACAAGGTGGGTGAGGTAATATCGTTTATTGGACCAACTTCTGTTGATGAGAGAGACAAGCTTTTGAGCCACACAGCACTCTTCTTCAGGTCTAGGAAAGGCACTCTGAGCATCACAGCTAAATGGAAGGTGGAACAGATTGGTTAGCATAAGTACGTAGCACATATTCTAAGGGACTTCTCAAGGTAGAGTGGTCCATTAACACCTCTGCAGTCATAGGACAAAAAGAGGGGATTAGTGGGTTACAGATAGTTGTAATAAACCATAAATTCAATCTCTAACTCAGGCCTGATCTACACTACAGAGATGGGTCGACATAAACTAACTCTACACTACACATCTACACTAAAGTAGATACACAGGGAGAACTGCGGAAAAGGATCTGGACCACAAGTGGACCACAAGCTAAATATGAGTCAACAGTGTAACACTTTTGCAAAAAAAAAAAGCGAACATCATTCTGGGATGTATTAGCAGGAGTGTGGTAAGCAAGACACATGAAGTAATTCTTCCGCTCTGCTCCACGCTGATCAGGCCTCAACTGGAGTATTGTGTCCAGTTCTGGGCCCCACATCTCAGGAAAAATGTGGACAAATTGGAGAAAGTCCAGAGAAGAGCAACAAAAATGATTAAAGGTCTAGAAAACATGACTTATGAGGGAAGATTGAAAAAATTGGGTTTGTTTAGTCTGGAAGCGATAAGACTGAGAGGGGACATAACAGTTTTCAAGTACTGTGACAAAGTTCCTCCTCTGCTTTGGTGGGTCCTGCACTTATTGGCGGATTTGCATGCCTCAGAGATTCATGGCTGCCCTCAGTTTGGCCACTTTTGTTAGTGACTCAAACCTGCTGTTCACTCAGCTAACCTCATCACTGGCCAGCGTGGGGAAAAGGAAGGAGAACAATTCCCACAGTCTCTGCTGGTCCGCCTAGTGGGTCGGGGGACAGGCCAGGACCTTCCCCTCTGGTGGGACCCATAGTGCAGGTCAACTCCTCCTGTATCCAATAGGGAGTTGGGGGGATGGGGAGAACCCTGGCCCGCCCTCTACTCCAGGTTCCAGCCCAGGGCCCTGTGGATCACAGCTGTCCATAGTGTTTCATGTAACACCTGTGTGACATCTACAACTCCCTGGGTTACTTCCCCATGGCCTCCTCCCAATACCTTCTGTATCCTTACCACAGAACCTTCCTCCTGATGCCAGATAGCATTTGTACTCCTCAGTCCTCCAGCAGCACACCCTCTCCCTCTCAGCTCCTTGTGTGCCCCTCACTGACTGAAGTGAGCTCCTTTTTAAACCAGGTGCCCTGATTAGCCTGCCTTAATTGATTCTAGCAGCTTCTTAATTGGCTCCAGGTATCCTAATTAGCCTGTCTGCCTTAATTGGTTCCAACAAGTTCCTGATTGTTCTGGAACTGCCCCTGTTACCTGACCCAGGGGAAAGGGACCTGCTTAACTTGGGGCTAATATATCTGCCTTCTATCACTCTCCTTTAGTAGTGGGTGGGCAGAAGCCCGCTCACCTCCTGGATTTTTTATTTTAAGAAAAAAAAAATCACTCTCCTGTAGCCATCTGGCCCGACCCTGTCACACCACTCAGACTTGTAGGCCCAATTCTCCATTCACAGAATAAAAGTAACTCCCAGAGGTTTCAGTGGAAGCTACTGCTCTCCTGCCGTCCTCTTTTCCTTTTCAAGTACTGGCTGTACTCCAGCTGCTGGGAAGGAGGGAGGGAGATGGCCGCGTCTATGAATGATGGCCTGACCCTTGAGAGAGATGGCAGGAGGTCTGAACTCTTCCCTCTTGTGCTTTTTTTTTTTGGTCTTGCATGACAGGAAATTGATGACTGCCTCGTCCAAGCGAAGGATCGGAGCTACGATGCCCTGGTGCACTTTGGGAAGCGGGGACTGAATGTTGCAGCAACAGCAGCCGTGATGGCAGCTTCCAAGGTAACAGCCAGGAGAGCGCAGGTCATGGCGGTGCCGTTAGCCTCTCAATTGGGTCTGGGTCCATCATCTATGGTAACAACACAGCAGGGCGGAGAGGAAGAAGGCGTGGGGGGGAGTCCAGAATTCTTCCAGTTGTTACAATCCTGCCTCCCAGCGTCCTGTTCACCAGCCTCATGGGTGCGTCTTGGGATGAACACATTATGCAAGACCATGATGCTGTGGGAGTGAATGAAGGGGGTAAACGCAAGGGGCCAAGCTTTGCCTTCAGGTCTGCGTGAGTGCTTCTGCTGAGCAGGATGCAGAGCAGCACACTCTAGCCTTATGATGATGTACAATTAGATTTCCATGAGCGATACTGATTAATGATACCCAGGAACAGTTACTACTCCAGGCTGGGAAATTGCTTAATGGCTCCTTTGAGGAAAAATTAAGCTCAGCTGTCCAGTTATTCCCTGCCCCCTTTCACAGGAGAAAGCACAGAGTAGGACTGAGGAGGGAGCCCCCACACCAGGCCTGTTGTTTCATTGGATTGTTAAAAAGGCTGGTTAACATTCTCACCTCTAATTTGGATGCTAATATCAGACCAATGAAATCTGAGGCTTCTGAACATTAAATGACCAGCTGCTGAGGTCAGGAAGGATCTCTTCTTTCATACCTTGTACAGCATCATATGATTGACTAGGTTCATTATTATGTTGCGTGAAGGAAAGATCACTTTCCTTTGAAGCAGCAGATATTGGTCACTTTTTGAGACAGGATGCTGGATGTGATGGAGAAATGGTCTCATCTGATCCTTAGATGGAAAGTGCTCTAGATATGCAAAGCAGACACCCACATTGTTCTGTATTGCATCTGTACTGTTACACCCATGCCTAGTGCTACAGCAATATTGAGATCTGTTTTAAATGTGCAAAAGCCAAGAATGCTTATTTTGTTCCCTGCTCACAGTCGTCTGTTTCTAGATGTTGAGCTGACGTGATGCTGTATGTGTGAAGGTCCCTACAACACCTCCACACAACAGTGAGACATTTGGCTGACACCTTGGCTGCGCCAAGGCCTTTTATGCCACTCTAGTAGCATAAAAGGGCCTTAAAATGGGCAGCAGCAGTCTACTGAGAGTATCACTGTCTCTGTACTGCCTTTGCTCCCAGCACGTGGTGTAGATGCACTGATGTCCCTGATGCATTGCACTACGTCTGTCTCTGCTTTCCAGGGCCTGCAGGAGCACGTTGGAAGCAGAGTACAAGTTAGAGCAGCCCTGAGGCTGCGCTGATTTACACTTGAGGCTTGGCAGGGCCCTGTCCAACCCCAGAATATGGCCTAAAGCCTTTGTGCCCCACCTCTCCCTCCCTGCCCTGAGCACAGGAACAGAATAATTGAGCCTTGGGCCCTTTCTCTTGAGGATCAATGAGTGTCACTGTCCTACTTGCCTCCTTTCTGCTCCTCAGGGATTTCTCTTGAAAAAGAATCTGTCTCTCTAAATGCTTGTTCTCCACCTTGAGAGGATATGTACACAGCTCCAGAGGTAGCAGGAGGCTGGGTGGAAGGGAGGCTGGAGACGGCCATAGAGAAGAAGGTCTGCAGTGAAAGAGGGGGACAGAGTAGTTCTAGGGATGATAGTTTTCCTTGATCTAATGGAGATCCTTGTTCAGTGTTAGAAGAAAGTATCTCTTTCTGTGATTCTTTACCATTGTCACACCTTACCTTTGGTTCTTATCCTGCCCCTGTCCCTGCAGTATCTGAGCACCTCACAATCTTCAATCCTCACAACACATCTGTGAGGTAGAGAAGTGCTATTGTCTCAATTTCAGATGGGGAAATGGAGGCACAGAGAGGCTAAATGAGTTGCCCAGGGTCACAGAAGAAGTCGATGGTAGAGCATGGACTTGAACCCAAGTTTCAGGCTTGGGCCCTAACCACTGAACCATCCTCCCTGTCTGCGACATCTTGGAAGGCCTACTCCTAGGAACAACACTTTAAATTAGGCTAGTACCCATAACAGGTAAGAAGTTTTACCTCGCTGCTTGTTTTCAGAAGTGGGAGAGTGGTTTAATGGCTAGCTCAGGGGATTAGTTTTGGATCGATTTGAGGCATTTGTAACAAAACAGTCACTCTGTTCTATTCCTGACTCTGGAAGGGAGTTTAATCTAATGGTTAGAGTAGGGGATGGAGTTGGGATTCCTGGGTTCTGCCGTCAGTTCAGTGTTTGGCCTTTGACAAGCCACTCACCTCCCTGTGCCTCAATTTATTCACCTGAAAAGTAGGTATAATACTTCTCTGCATTCCTAGGTGCTGAATTTTAATGACTTAATTATGATCTGGAGAGCATGTCAGGATGACAGACAGTGAATAAAACCAAAATACAGCTGTCATTAAGGGGAAATGTTTCTCTGCACCCTCGCACCCAAGTTTAGAAAGTGCCCTACCCCCTATTTCAGTCGTTGGCTCCAGGACTCACACTGGCTTGTCTCCCTTAGCCTTTGGAAGGTGATAGCTAATATGTATATGGAGACAAGGCAGTTTGCCTTTAACACATGTTAAACTGCTCCAGTTGAAGCCCAAAGCCGAAGTTAGGCCCCCAAATCCATATTTCAGCACCAAAATAAGTGGCCTAGCTTTCAGAAAGGCTTAGCCCCTGTGGAAAATGAAAAGGAGTACTTGTGGCACCTTAGAGACTAACCAATTTATTTGAGCATAAGCTTTCGTGAGCTACAGCTCACTTCATCGGATGCATACTGTGGAAAGTTTAGAAGATCTTATTATATACACACAAAGCATGAAAAAATACCTCCTCCCACCCAACTCTCCTGCTGGAATAGCTTATCTAAAGTGATCACTCTCCTTACAATGTGTATGATAATCAAGGTGGGCCATTTCCAACACAACTGCTATGGGTACCCGCATGGCACCACAGTATGCCAACATTTTTATGGCTGATTTAGAACAACGCTTCCTCAGCTCTCGTCCCCTAACGCCCCTACTCTACTTGCGCTATATTGATGACATCTTCATCATCTGGACCCATGGAAAAGAAGCCCTTGAGGAATTCCACCATGATTTCAACAATTTCCATCCCACCATCAACCTCAGCCTGGTCCAGTCCACACAAGAGATCCACTTCCTGGACACTACAGTGCTAATAAACGATGGTCACATAAACACCACCCTATACCGGAAACCTACTGACCGCTATTCCTACCTACGTGCCTCCAGCTTTCACCCTGACCACACCACACGATCCATCATCTACAGCCAAGCTCTGCGATACAACCGCATTTGCTCCAACCCCTCAGACAGAGACAGACACCTACAAGATCTCTATCAAGCATTCTTACAACTACAATACCCACCTGTGGAAGTGAAGAAACAGATTGATAGAGCCAGAAGAGTTCCCAGAAGTCACCTACTACAGGACAGGCCTAACAAAGAAAATAACAGAACGCCACTAGCCGTCACCTTCAGCCCCCAACTAAAACCCCTCCAATGCATTATTAAGGACCTATCCTGAAGGATGACCCAACACTCTCACAAATCTTGGGAGACAGGCCAGTCCTTGCCTACAGACAGCCCCTCAACCTGAAGCAAATACTCACCAGCAACCACATACCACACAACAGAACCACTAACCCAGGAACCTATCCTTGCAACAAAGCCCGTTGCCAGCTGTGCCCACATATCTATTCAGGGGACACCATGGATTTGTGTTGGAAATGGCCCACCTTGATTATCATACACATTGTTAGGAGAGTGGTCACTTTAGATAAGCTATTACCAGCAGGAGAGTGAGTTTGTGTGGGGGGGGAGGGGTGAGAAAACCTGGATTTGTGCTGGAAATGGCCCAACTTGATTATCATACACATTGTAAGGAGAGTGATCACTTTAGATAAGCTATTACCAGCAGGAGAGTGGGGTGGGAGGAGGTATTTTTTCATGCTTTGTGTGTATATAATAAGATCTTCTAAACTTTCCACAGTATGCATCCGATGAAGTGAGCTGTAGCTCACGAAAGCTTATGTTCAAATAAATTGGTTAGTCTCTAAGGTGCCACAAGTACTCCTTTTCATTTTCCACAGGGGCTAAGCCTTTCTGAAAGCTAGGCCACTTATTTTGGTGCTGAAATATGGATTTGGGGGCCTAACTTCGGCTTTGGGCTTCAACTGGAGCAGTTTAACATGTGTTAAAGGCAAACTGCCTTGTCTCCATATACATATTAGCTATCACCTTCCAAAGGCTAGGGGAGACAAGCCAGTGTGAGTCCTGGAGCCGACGACTGAAATAGGGGGTAGGGGGTACGGTCTAAACTTTCCACAGTATGCATCCGATGAAGTGAGCTGTAGCTCATGAAAGCTTATGCTCAGATAAATTGGTTAGTCTCTAAGGTGCCACAAGTACTCCTTTTCTTTTTGCGAATACAGACTAACACGGCTGTTACTCTGAAACCTGTGGAAAATGTGGCCTTACAAAGTAGAGAAAGGAAAAGTCCATCCCGTGTCCTACTTCAGCTGGAATAACAGGACAGAAATAGATGCTAAGGTATCTGGGGCCCCTCCTCAGCTGGTATAAATCAGTGTAGCATCTGTTGACCTAGGTACGAGGCTCTAGCCCTAAGCTTATCGGGTGCAGGCCCAGTTAAAGTGAGAAATGGACCCAGATCTAAGTACTCTTGAACTTTGAGACATGCCCCCTTCTTTTCCTTTTCTCTGGTGGACAAACCGTGTCCCTCACAGACCAAGATGCTACAAGCACAGGCTAGAATATACGTCCCTCCTCCTTAGCTCAGTCAGATTCTCCACTGGCCTGACTGATAAATGGCCTAGATGTTTGATTAGCTGGACACAATTTAAAAAAAAAAACAATAATTGTGCTGCCAGGCAAAAATATAGGTCATTATTAGACAGGTGAGGGGTTCTCAGAACCCCAAACCCCTTGTACCAATCTCCCCCGCTTGCATGTGCTCTCTCTCTCTCTCGTTCTCTCTCTCAAGATGAGTGGTACATTTC